GTTTCAAATTCCTTGAGAGCAGATACGTCTCGGCATCCTTGGGCCCCAGCGGTGCTGGGCTGGGGCTGGGTGAATGGTGATGGAGTGATGGAAGGGCAGGTGAGTGGAGGCGATGACAGAGGACCCACCAGTGTTCCTCTAGGTGGGGTGGAGGGGCCTGGAAGACCCGGGGTGAGCAGGCGCCACCTAGAGGCGACAGGTGGAACAGCTTCACAACTCTGCTGGAGGCCCCCTAGCTGCCAGGCCCTGCCAAAGCCCTAGGAGAGCTTAGCCCTGCCTGCAGGGACTGTCCCTTCTGGAAGGGGGCAAGGACATGTGGACAGATCATGACAGCACAGGTGATGAAGGGGGTGTACACACAGGTACCAGGGCACAGGGGCGGGGAAGCCTGGGGGGAGTGGTGCTGGCCCTGCATGGTGCAAATGAGTTGATTTGTAAGAAACGGGGGGTGGAACGGGCAGATGGCGTAATGGCTATGTCACTGGACTCCCACGTAGTTGACTGCAGTTTGAGTTCCAGACCTGGTGGTGGCTTAAACTCACGCCGGGCGTGTGTGCACGTGTGCCCAAGATCCCGAGAGGAGAATGGAGGAGAAGGGATTGCGGTGTGGCCATCTCCCCAGGGGGTGATTTCTCGCTGTCTCTCCGGTGTGTGTGCCCTATAGCAAAAATCTCTCTCAGAAAAGAAAAGAAACTGAGGGGAGGGGAGGGTTAGCAGATGGCTCATGGTTATGCCACTGGACTCCCATATGGCTGACCACGGCTTGAGTCCTGAACCGGTGACTTGAAAGTCACACTGGGCGCGTGTGCCTAAGATCCCGAGAAGAGACTGGGGGAGAAGGGATTGCAGTGTGGCCATTCCCCCTGGGCGTGATTTCTTCCTTTCCCCCTCACTGTGTCGCCTCTCTCTCGCTCTCTCTGGCAAGCACATGCGCCCTAAGCCCAAAACCTCTTAAAAAAAAAAGAAAGAAACTGCCCAGAGGTAGCCGGTGCTGTGGTTGCGGGGCTCCCCGCCTGAAGGTCCTGGCTCATCCGTGCCTGTGACCAGGGTTGGCTGGGCTGGGGTGAACCCAATGTCTAGACTGTTGGAGGTGCAGTCTCTCTGTCTCTGTGTCTCTGTCTCTCTTGCTCATGGGGACTTTTATTTTTTTTTTTAAAGAAAACAGTAGGGGCATAGTAGGACATATGGTAGCTGGTACAGGGGCCTCCAAAATTTGTGAAGGGCTGTCCCAAGGGCCTGGTGGTTAAGGGAGCCGGATCCCACATGGTGGACTACATGGTTCAAGCCTCAGACCCAGCCGTTTGAATAACACACAGGGTGTGTGTGCATTCATGTCCAAGCCCCGAGAGGAGGGAGAGATGGAGAAGGATGGCGACAGGACCATTCTCCATGGGGCGGGGGGTGCTTTTTCTCATTCCCTTTCTCTGTCTCCCTTTGGGGAGCGCATGTGACCTCTGGCAAATTTAAGAAAAGGTTGTGGAAAGATGAAATTAAAATATGAATTTATTTTGGTGCAAAAAACCTTTTGCATAGTTTTTTTCTTTTTTAAGAGAGATTTTTGATATAGGGCATGTGCACTTGCCAGAGAGACAGACAGAAAGCGAGAAATCACCCCCCAGGGGGATGGCCATGCCACAATCCCTTCTCCCCCATTCTCTCAGGATTTTGGGCACACACGCAGATGCTCCCGGTGTGAGTTTTTTAAGCGGCCCGGTCCAACACTCGAACCAGTCCACTATGTGGGAGTCCCGCAAAATAACCATCCCACCGTCTGCTGGTCCCTGCATGGTTTGTTCACGATGTGCATTTCCTGCAAACTTTCAAAGCCCCCACTTTCCGTGGGCAAATGTGGCATTAATCAGGGGGCCCTGAGTGGCTTGAGGCTGAGAGCCATCAACATTTTCTGCCCAGCCTTGCCCCTGGGTGTCCCCCGTTCCAGGTCCAGGGCTGCCACTTCTAGCTGCACTTCATCCTGAACACGGGCTGTCCCAGCCCTGCAGGCGTGATCTGACCAACTGGTCTCCCGGGGGAGCGCATGCCATGGAGAGCAGGGACGGAGCCTGGGGACTGGGCTGGCCCCAGGGCACCTCACATTTCCCTGAAGGCCTAGGGCCAGCCACAGCCATGCCGTGTTCCTGCTCTGCGGAGGCCCTGCCCCACCGGCACTCTCCCACCCTGTCGTGCCTGCCCTCCCCCCTCACCCACTCCCCTTCACGGGGCTCGGATGGGGTCCTAGTGGGGAGGGTGTGTGGAACACGGCTGAGTGCTGACTTCAGCGCCCCGCCATTCTTTTCCCTCCTAATGGCCTAGTAAAAGCCAGTGCAGAGCACAGAGAGGCCTGCTCTCCCAGTGGGACAGTGCGTGCTCATGCTGCTCTGCAAGCTGTGTCTTTCGGTGTGTTTGGAGCACCCACAAGGATTCCAGGTCCTTTCTGGGGGATTCTTTGCAGTCGCAGGGTCTCCATTGGGCCGTAAGGGAATGCCCTGCCAGTCTGAGGTCTTGCTCTTGAACTTTCCCGGAAGGGGAGACAATAGCAATTCAGCGCCCTCTAATGGTCAGTCCTAGAACTGCAAGGTGCTGGCTTTGAACCAGGCCAGACTGTTTCCTGGGACTCTGGGAATTTTGTGGAAAAGAGCCCATGGTGTCAGAGACGGGGCCCAGGTCTGGAGCCCCTGTTGCATGCCTGGGCAGCCTCTGGGTCTTTGGCAGTGGCCTTAGACTGCTGTGGGTGGGAGCGAGGCTTCCCTAAGAACAAGCCTGTTGTTCCCCTGTGTTACTTCCGAGCCCACAGGTGCCTTGTTAGCACCCCCAGCTCAGAGAGGGGACCCTCAGGGGACCTCAGGCTTCCGAGGTATAGTTCCCTGCTCAGAGTGTCTAATGCATTGATTGCTTCATCCAGTGCCTGGCCCCTCTGCCCGGTCCGGTCGGGACAGTTCTAGGACTGTCCTTGTGTGCCGTGTGGCCCTGAGCACGGCCCGCAGTCGGGAGCCTTGCAGGTACAATCCAGCATGGCCAGCATTGCCAGGAGGCCCTTCCAGCTCGGCACAGGCCTGGGCAGCAGCCCAGGAGAACCAGTGGCCGGGCTGGGGAGTGGCCTCAGGAGGACTGAGGCTCCTGTCCCTGAGGCCAGACAGGCTCAGGCTTGTTGGAGCAGAACTCTCTGGGCACCAGCAGTAGAGAATCCACCCAAGGGAGGGAAGGCTGGTGCTGAGAGGTGGGTCTGGAGGCTGAGACAGTGGGAGACGTGATCCAGGCTGGGGGCTCGGCTGTCTGCAGCAGTGGGCAGGAGGCCCCCCAGAGCCATCACAGAGAGCCACGAGATGCGGAGGGTCCCCCACGCCCTCCCTGACTTTCCCTTGCCAGGTCCACTCTGGCTTCCGGTTCTCGGGCCTTCTTCACTCTGAGTTGACTCTGGAGCCGGCCCGGTAGCTACTGGGCAAGGGGGCTGGATCCGCATGGCTGACCGTGGTTCCATTACTGGCTTGAAGAACTGCCAGGGACCAGCAGATGGCGTAACGGTTATGTTGCTGGATTCCCACGGTTGTTGCCGGCTGTTCAAATCCCGGTCCTGGTGGCTTGAAACTCAGGCTGGGTGCGTGTGTGTGCGTGCCCCAAATCCCAAGAGGAGAATGGAAGAGAAGGGATTGCAGTGTGGCCATCCCCCCGGGGGGTGATTTCATGCTTTCTGTCTCTCCATATGTCCTATAGCAAAAATCTCTCCTAAAAGAAGAAAACCATGTGCCAGTGCGTGTGCGTGTGGGTGCACGCGTGCTGCGTGTCTGACTGGATGCAGGAGAGGAGAAGGCAGCAGTGCGGCCGTGCCCCCCCGGAGTGCCCTCTTCTCTCTGTCTCCAGTGAGCACACATGAACTCTGGCAGTCAAAAAACAGAAAGCAGTCTCTAAAAAGTTTTGATAAATTAACTCACACTGGAGTAGAAATGACTGGTAGTCAGATGTGTGCGGTGTAACAAGAACAGGTTTCGACGGTGAAACTCGAGGCTGTAGAGACAAGCGTGGGGGCCCTTGCCCGGTGCACCGTGTCCGAGCAGTGGCTGAGAGTGATGCAAGTCCCACGTTTTCTCTTTCTGCTTTTAAGTGACATGGCCTGGCTTTATGTAAGGAAGGCCTAGCTGTGAGAATGGCAGAAGCTGCCCAACACCCTTCTGAGTTATCCCCCCCCAGGTTTATTTATTTACTCCATGAGGGAGAGAGGAGACGGCTACCCCGAGAGGGTCCCCACGCCAGGATCCATCCACCTTGGCTGCGCAGGCCAGCCGTGCGTGTGTCCAGCATGCTGGGCCCAGTTCGGGAGCCCAGGCCCTTCCTCGCGTGGCTCCGGTGCCTTACCGCACCACCGCCCGGCTTCCGCCCCAGCACTTCTTAAGCCCTTCCGTTTTCCCCCGTGCCCCTGAGCCTGACTGACCCGAGGTCTTCATGCCGCCGCCCTCCCGATGGGCCCTGCTGACGATCTGACCTCCCAGCGCCATGTCCCCCACAGGCAGACCTCAACACCAACATGGAGGACGAAGGCAGCTCTTTCTACGGGGTCTCCAGCCAGTACGAGAGCCCCGAGAACATGATCATCACCTGCTCCACCAAGGTCTGCTCCTTCGGCAAGCAGGTAAAGCCCCCCGACCAGCTCCCAAGGCCGCCCCCGCGGCCACGCGGCTGCCGGAAAGCAGGGGGGTGGCTGCGGTCACGGCCTCTCCGAGGCTCACATTTCACTCTGGGGCCACCAGCGTCTTCACCTCCCTGCCTTTCTCTTTGTGGGGACCCTGGAGACCCTGGGGAACTTAGGCCTGCGTTTGGGCAGTGGCTTCTGTCTCTCCTATAGGCCTGGCCAAGGGCAATGCAGGGTGTCGGGAGGAGCACAGCCCGATGGACCTGGGTTCAAACCCCATCTCCTGCTTTCTGTGGATGTGACTGGAGAGAGTGTGACAGAACTTTGGTCATCCCTAATAATAACTCGCGTAGCACTCTGGCATTCTGATCCCACCCTGTAAGAGGGACAGGGAGACTAAAAGGCCCCCAGCCCAGACACCGGGGAGCCCAAGTCTGTCACCCTGGAGGTCCCACACATTCCTTCAGCCAGAGCACGTGCTCTCAGCCCGCTCCTCTTCTCTCCCCCAAATCCGTCTGAATTTTTTGAGAGGTTTTTGCTATAGGGCGCATGCGCTCGCCAGACAGAGAGACAGAGAGACAGAAAGCAAGAAATCACCCCCCAGGGGGGATGGCCA